GAATGAATAAATAAACAAGGTACAATGGAGACTTGATTAGACAGGGTGAGAAAAGACATTGATCAATAGTCAGTAATTACTTAAAACAAAATTAATAGGAATTATTGCATAAAATACAATATACGTGAGTAAAGAAATGATCATTATTTTTTTAATTGTGGGTAAATATATGTAATAAAACAGATGACCTGCCAACCACTTTTCTTTTTAATTTCTTTTAAAGAGAATAATTTGAAAGAGTTACTTCTGTTTTTTTTAAATTGGTTGCCACTCACTCATGTACATTTCATTGTAACATTAATTACTATTGTATAATGCCCTATTTTACATCTTATGAAAACCTCACTGTACCCTCCCTTTCTCTTCTCCCTACCCAATCTATTTGCTAATCTCTGTTCCCTGACCCTCTTCTCTTATTCCTGCCAATGCCTCCTAATTGTTTCTGTGTGTAAATCTTTCCTTTGTCTCCTGCTTCTAGCCCCCATTCTATCAGGTATGCTTGTCCTGTTTCAGATTAATTGCAATACACAAACTGTCTGATCATTCATTTCATGTCCTAATAACTCAGTCACAAAAGGATAAATATTGTGTATGACTTCTGTTCCTTTCTGATACTGCCTTTATATGGAACAGAAACAATGATAGATGCCATACTCTGTTCCTGACCTTAGGAACAATGTTTATTATATTTCATTCATGAATTATATTCATTATAGTTTTCTGGAAAACATTTTCAAGTTCTAGGATTTTTCCCTTTTTTATCTTTTCTTTATTAATTTTTCCTTTAATCAACAACAAATTTGTTTATCTTCTAAGCTTTTTATTTTGAATCAGTCTTTGGCAAAATATAGTACATATACCCACCGAATTTTTTAAGGGCCTATGAGTTAAGAATGATTTTTATACTCCAAAAACTTAGAAAAACCATTGTGTGATGCATGAAAATTGTGTGAAACTGAAATATTAGAGGCCATAAATATAGTTTAACTGGAACACAGTAGTACTCCTGTTTCTGTATTGTCTATGCTACTTTAACACTGCAATGACAGAGTTAGGGACTTGCAGTAGAGACTACCCAAAACCAATCTTACTGTTGGCCAGTAAGTTCTAACTCATACCGACCCTCTATTAGGTTTCAGAGGCTATAAATCTTTATGGGAGGAGACTGCCCTCTTTCTCCCTTGAAGGGACTAGTGGATTAAAGCTGCTGACTGTGGTTATCAGTGTGATATGTTAAACATGGCTGTCAGACAACAGAGACCTCAAAACCTAAAACACTATATGGTTCTTTACAGGAAAAATTAGATTGCTCATACTTTAGACAAATATGGTGATCACATATTTCTTCTCTTTTACCTACTAATGTATTAGGCAGGATCCTGTCTATGATAGTAGCAGAAATTTGGACCCAAACTTGCTTAAATCATGAGAACATTTATTATGACACATTGCAAACTACACGCATGGTGTGATCATTCTTCATGTCTTGGTTCTTTATCCTAGAGTGGTTTTTCTACACCCTTAAGGAGTTCCCTGCAAAGACAAATTCTTTTAAACTAGATTTTCTCTTCCCTCCCACCCCAGTTCATTCCTCTTCCCCCCCCTTAAAAGTCTGTTTTAATTGTCCCATTGCCACAGTGCTTGTCAAAGCCAGTTCTGATTAATCTCCTTTGCCAGTATGTCCTTTGCCATTCTCTATCACTCCTCCCTGAGAGAGACTTCACCCTGATTCATAAGGAAAAGGGGATGGCATATTCTCTTAGCTACTTCCTGCTGAAAAGGGACACTGTAGATTTCAGGGTGAAGATCTTCTCTCACTACTCTAAAGGGCCCCTTTGGCAGTAGGAAACACGTAGACTACTGTGGAGATTTATTTTGGAATTTAGATGCACTGTTCTCAATTGTGCTGAGCCATACATGTTCATATCCTTGAAGATGCATCAGGGAACTGTTGCAGCCTAGAAGATACAAATTTAACTAACAAGTTAAAAGTACATGAGTCAACAATTAAAAGCAATAATATTCCAAGTAGAGGTTCTAATAGTGGCACAAATCAAGTTACAGAGGGAAGATAGTTCTTAAAATAAAAGGCCTATTGACTAGCACTTTGTCTATTATAGTATAAAGGTTAGGAACCACAAGATGTAGAGGCTCAACTACGTCATTTATTGTTCTTAAGTCCTGGACCAAATTCCATCTACTACTGGGTTGTTTTACAGCTCGGAAGTCTGCATGCAAGGCAGAGTTGAAGTAAGGAACTGCTTATGGGGTTTTCCATCAATTCCAACAACTAAGAAATAGTGAGAAGAGTTGGGACCTCAGAAGGCTTTTAGGACCAAATAGTAGGCTCTTGTGTCCAGGAGAAAATGAATATACTTACCAGTAATGCTAATGCTCATCCACAGCTCTTCTGGGAGGATCCAAATCACTGAAGCATCCTCCTTTGTTTCCAGCTGGGAGCTGTGGCCTGTCAGTCCTGTCTACCATGAGGACCTGATGTGGGCCACCCTTGGCCATGTGTCCTTCAAATCCACACTTAAAGCAAGTGAGTGGGAGCTTTCTCTCTACTCCCTTGCCTATCTGTGGCTCTCGTCTGTGACACTGTCTACTGAAGTGGCCCAGCTTTCCACAGTGGAAGCAATTCGGACCTCCTTTATTACCTTTGGGTGGCACTGTTTATGAGTAAGACTTAATTTTCCTGACACAGGCCCTAAACTAGCAGCAACAGCTGCCCCAATAACTTTGGCCATTCTCTGATCTTTTCTCTTCCCTTTAGATCCCAGTTTTTAAAAGAGGGAAAAATTTAAACAAATATATAACAAATAATTTTGAACAATATAATATTTTAAGTTTAAGGCTAGAAATATTAACAATATGATCATTTCCATTCCAGAGATACATGTTCCACTGCAGTTTCTATTTTCCATAAATGGTTTTGGTAAGAAGAATATTGTAAATGTGGATACAGTTCCACTATTCCTCCTCCATGCCATGATATGGTGTTATTAGCATGAGCAGTTATAAATCCATTGCCTTCCTTACTCTAACTTAATTTTTTAAAATTTGAATTTATTATTAATTTCAGTAAAAATTTACAGAGGCTTTTAGGTACACTTGTGTAACTTTCATCCTTTCTCCAGGTTCCTAGGGTTTCCGGAGGCAAGAAGTGGATGTCACTCATGCTTCCAAGCTTATTTTAATCGGGATGCTCCACCAAACACTGTCCGCCATGTATAACCATTAATGTATTTGACATATCAGTGTCACAGTGTTTAGCTTCACAGCAACCGCAGGTTACCTATGTACAGCAAGTGGACACACCAGGGCTATATGACCTAGAACAAAAACAATGTTCTGTTTTCAAACAATGTTTTGTTTGAACAAAAACAATGAAAAACAGCCCTGGGGGCTGCAGGTCCTTCAGTATTTTACCATTCCGGCCTGCCCAAATGCTGGCGGACTCTGGGCCAGAGACACCCAGTTCACCTAGCAGAAGCCAGAGGCTGCATCCTGCTTACACCGACTTCCAAGACACTGGCCCTTCCCCTGAAGGCGTGGTCCAACATTTCTGTGTTTTACTATTCTGCCATGGTAACCATTAACACATTTAACACATCAGTGTCACAGTGTTCAGCTTCATAGTAACCACAAGTTTCCTCTGAATAGTAGTAAGTGGACACACCAGGGCTATACCACCTAGAAGAATGTTTGAACAAAAACAATGAAAAACAGCCCTGAGGGCTGCAGGACCTTCAGTATTTTACCATTCCGGCATGCCCAAATGCTGGCGGACTCTCAACCAGAGACGTCCAGTTCATCTGTCAAGTCTGCTCTCCTGACACCCACTTATGGCAAAAAGAAAGCCACAAGCACCCAGAGCGTACCATCCTCGCCTCTCCTCTAGAAGCCAGAGGTCGTGTCCAGCTTACACTAAGACTTGTATGCAACAGAATAATAAGGAACAAAGACTGAAAAATATATTCGATTCCTTTCGATTATGGTGCTTGCAAGGAACATTAAATTGCCAGAAGAATACACAAATTTGTTTTGGAATAAGTGGAGCTAGGATGCTCTTTGGAAACAAAGATATTGAAGCTTTATCTCATGTAGTTTAGACTTACTAATCAGGATGGACCATTCTCTGGAAGAGGACATCATGTTTGGTAAAATAGAGGGTTATAAAAAAAGAGGAAGACCTTTGTAAAAAGAGAGAGTAGCATAGAATGGTCAGGTGTGACCTCTACTAACTATGAAAGGGAGAACTGTCCCCATCATAGAACAAAACCAATTTCCATGAGGTCAGACATGGTCCCTATGCTCCTACACTTATTTACATTAATTCTAGCACCAACCCTACTACTTGACTGGGTCCTAAATCCTTTGCAATAGCTACAGCGACCTCACACAACCATACTCATAATTATTGGATTTATTAGGGAAGTTAACAGGTTACAATTCAAGCTGACAACAGGATGCTATTTCATGTTATTTCTCAGTCAGGACAGCTTCTAAAGCCTACTCGCAGGCTCTTCAGTTTTTAGCCTTGTGGCTGCAGGTCAGTGTTACAAAGTTCTCTTAGTTCTGACAATGAAGGCATCTAAGTCTCACCTCCTACTCTCACCCCTAGTCCTCCAGCAAGCTTGGGTGATGGCACCTGGCTCTGGCTACATAGGGAAGCAGTCCAAGTTAGCACAGAATCCTATCAGTTCTCTGGTTCACTGCTGTGGCTTTGAGTGCTTCATTATTTCTGGTGAAATAATGAAACTGGCCAATTCCCTCATGGATAACCAAAACATCCTATTTGCATGTTTCTCATCCAGTCACCTATTCACTGCATTATAACATTCAATAAGATTTATTGACAGTAGCTGCAGCAATGGGCTTAAATATAGCAGTGATTGTGTGGATGGCAAAGGGCTAGGTAATGTTTTGTATTGTTGAATATAAGCTTTCTATGAATCAGATCCAACCCCACAGCACCGTAATAAAAACAAAATTCTTTAGCAGATATAATTTAAGAACATGTTAATCTGATTCTCAATTACCTGATCAGATGGGTGGATATTATTGGAATTATAAGCAATGGTCATGTCCCAGGCATCAATAACACCCACATTGAGATCTTTGAAAATGTTATTCATGGTAAGATACTGAATATAACCATGGAAGTCTCCAAATCTCTCTGTGTCTATATGCATCTCTCTAGTGTTTTCTGTTTTAAGGATCACTTTAGTGCCTGGGCTTCTTAAGAACAGTCGTTCAATGGCCTTTTGGACACTGATGACTCGGCGGATAAAAATGTCAAGGGGAAAGGGTCTGAAATGCTGGCCGAGGCTGATGACGAGAACTGTGTTTTTGTCCCCTGGTATCTTATCAATTTCCCTTGGGATGTATGCCTCTTCTCTCACAGAGTAGAGCTGGTTAGTAATAAATGGATAGCTGTGTTTCATCCATTGAATCTGGAGATGCTGTTCTGCATCCAGAAGCAAATGTTTCTTTAACATTCCAGTTCCATGAAGATCAAAAATTTTCAATGCTGTTTGAAAAAAAAAACACACCAGAAATTTAAATTATAATGAAAGAATTTCTTTAAAAAGTATCTTTTGTCTTTTAAAAACCTAGATGACTTGTGACTGAAAAATTTTGCCCTCTAGAGTACATCACAAGTTCATATATGTTAAGAGCCCATAACAGTGACATTTTCACTAAAATTTATAAAGAATATTTCTTATGAGAGGGAATAAATACCTATTTTAAAGTTAAAAGCCTCAGAAGTTGTAAACAAAACAAAAATCCCATTAGAGCCTTTGTAAAAAAATACTTCAGGGATATATGATTAGGTATTATGGTCATGATAGGAGTCCAGAATGAAGGCTGTATAGTGGAGTGGACTTAGGGAGAGGGATTGTATAACAATGAAAGAATTTTTCGTTTTTGTTTACTTTTCAAAGAGAAGAACAAACTGGAGGGCGGGGAGAACAAACTGGTGGGCAGGGAGAAAAGTGGAACAATGAATGACTGGAAATCCAAAATATCTTTAAAATTTCA